GGTTTAATGAACCAGAAGTTAAGACTTTACTGTACAATTCAAAGTGGAGCTTTGACTTGCTACCACTGCAAGAAATTTGGATTGCAAAAGCAGCTTCCCCCCCTCAAAAAAAAAACCATGAAAAATTTGGCTTATAGTCTTTAAAAATAGCCACTCACAAAAAAAGTTTGGATGTAACATTAAGCTTTTAATTCCTGGTTAGTTAAGCCACTCCTGCCGATAGGAAAAACTAAACCAGAATTAATGGCACCAGAATTCTCCAGTTAAACTGCATGTAAACACAGCTGTATTCTTCATCCAGGGAAGGACAAATGAAATAAATGAGGCCTACCTATATGTGTGGTACTGTCATCTTAACAGATAAAACGCTGGCTGTATCAAATTCAGTGCCATTACCTTCTACTCAGGCAACAATTGGCTAATTTGTAACATAAGGTTGTACCTGATAGTAGAAGTATCAGAAATTACTGGCTGTCCCATCCATACTGCTCCACACTCCTGATATTCCACTTTAGAATTCTATCATTTTAATTTGAAACGTCACATTATTCCAAGAAGTAGATGCCATTGAGCAGCTGATCTTTGTCATTAGTCTGCTCCTAAATCCCCAAGGTTAATTCTCTGATAACTGCTACTGCTTGTGTTACCTTTGTTCTGTCAATGTCTGCATATTTCCTATCTCTCCCTTCCTCACTCACCTTCTATCTTTCTCTCATTTGTCACAGAAGAAACAAAATGTACACCAGTCGTGATTTCAGTTTACTTAGAGATTGTTATCTAAAGCAGTCAATCCTACTGGTCTTCCAAGATTCTGGTATATTTTTTCACACATATGCATATTTATTAATAAGGTATGGGCATACACATATGCACACACTTCAAACCTGTATGAAAAGACAACAACTGGGAGGCCTTGGCTCCATTGAGGTATCTGTTCAACACTTCTCGCAGCTGTCAATCTGTCGATGACAGCAATAAGCAGTCAGGCTGATAGAAATATTTTACAATCTTGTTCAAACATCTGTAGTGGCAGAATTACTCATTTGGTTGAATATTCTGGCACAATTTCATTTTAAGTTCCAAATTCCAGTGGAAGATTAGCTGCAATTTCATAATGACATAAAGCCCATGAATAGGATAGAGAAACCTGAGGAGGATCATTCCAACCTGCTTATAAGTTTTTGGTAAAACATCCATATCTCTCTATCCCTGTTCCAAAAATTAAATCCATTTCTTACTAGTCCTTCTCTGTATTCAGTTGCAAACTGCCCTGAAGTTATCCATACGGAGGCATGTATGTTTTGGAAAGGTATAGTCTTCTCAAAACAGTAATGGACAATTTGATTGTGCTCCATTAAAGCCAGCAGATTAAATCCACTGATTTCACTGTAGATAAAGAACTAACTCAACTCTGACTCATCTTGATATTCTTAAGAGTTAGAACTTGGACAACACAGCAAAGGCGTGGAATAAAGTAATAAACAGAACATTCTCAACAGTCAACTGGTTTGTTTATTTTTTAATGAAACCTAGTACTGTTTTGTGCTTCTTCCCAGATGTTGAAAGCACTTCCCTCTATGATTTCATTACTTATCAAAATAATCCTTAAATCAGGCCAATAGTTTTATCTCCACAGAACATTCAGGAGGCTGAGACAACAACAGCAACCTGTGGGGTGGGGGGAATCATACAATTTCATTGCCCATATCTCATCTCTTTTTGTTTGATTGATTTTCAGTTGAAGACTTTTCACTTCGGTAGGCGTGCAACTCTTAGGGTTGTTTCAGTTGCAGCAACACGGAAGATTAGTTAAACACAACTCCAAGGTTCACCAAAATAATTCCCGCATCAGTTAGTATTAATAAGACGTAGGGATACCACTTTTTGAAAAGCACAGACGTGTAATTTGACAACTCGATCCCATGAAAGTTTAGGGCACCCACCGATCAACACGACTGGATTTGTACAACACGTTTCATTCGAATACCGAATTTGCAGAGGGAAGTAAGTATCAATAAACCAGACGGGCTGGCTTTGTGATAACCACTAAGCCACAAAATACAACCAACAAGAAAGAAACCCAACTCGGAACACTGTGAGAAATAAGAGGAATAAAAGAAACCAAACTCAAGTTGCGATGTCCTAACTCCGTCCTACTCTGCTTTAGAGCGCCGCGCCGCGTGAAGGCAGCCCAGGCGCCGTTCATCTTCGGATTCAGACGCCGCTACGCGCCTAAAATCCTGCCCGGCGAGTCGCCGAAGGTTTCGAGGGCGACTGCGAAACCTGTTTCAGCCCGCATCGCTTTCCCCCACACACTCCACGCTTGCTCTACATTTCTCCATTTGTTTTCCAAAGGGGCGCCCGAATCTAACGCGCCGGGCTTCCCGTGCAAAACGAATTGAGAGGTCTTCCCTATGCAAAGGAACACGCTTACCCTTCCTGCGCGCTCAAACCCAGGAGCGAAGCCGCCCGGCTCCTCCTTCTATATACCTGGTATTGCAGGAAAGGAGAGTTCCTCCAAATCTTCTACCAACTCTCCCTTTGTCTGGTTGGCTCTTCCGAGGAGGACGGTGTACAGCGCCGAGCCGGTTGGGGAAAGCGCATGACGATGGCCGCTCGCGGCGGCGGCTCTTCCGAGAAGTTCAAGGTAGCTGAAAAGTTGCCGAAGGAGCTAGAGGAGAGGCAGCCTTCTTCGCTCCTTTCCTTCTCCTGCTGCCGGGGAGGAGAAAGAGGCAGCGCCAAAAGGGTAGGGTGGGGTGGGGGTGCGTGCGCGCCCGGTGTAAGCAAAAGGTGTCGACGCAACTCGGGAGAGAGGCAGCGAAACAGCGCGCGCCGGGGTGCTGTGCGTCGCGGGTGGTGCAGGTGGAAAGGCGCGAAGGGGCCCAGGCCCTGTGGAAAAATACCCGGCTTCTGAGGGAGCGCAAATGAGAAAGAACTAGCTGCTGTGGCTTATCTTTCTCTTTCTGAGGAAAAAAATGCCAAATAGTGGAGTCCGAGGGGAGGGGGAAAGGTGGGGGAGGTGGACTCTTTCTTGCCCTGCCATCTCCTCCGCAAAAATGCTCCCTCTTCTTTTTTTATTTTAACCTCGAATAGCAAGGGATGGACTCCCCCTCAAAGTGAGGGTTGGAAGGGATATTGCCTCAACAGCTTTGAAAAATCTTTGTTAATTATTTACTGGTCTCTAATCTTAAATTCTTGGTCCGGGGGACTGATAAGGCTGTGCCTTTGCAACCCCAGGTGCATCTGGTTGAAATTGATAATCTGACCCATTTCTCAGTTTGGGTTTGGTCCGGAAGCTTTGGTGACCTTGGCAAATGATCTAGGTTGGAAACTTTCAGTAGAGATATGCAACTTTGGTACTTTCTGAGTTTGGTTGTTTTCTTGTGGCTGTTTCATTAACCCAAACTATGTAACAGCATCCCTAGTTGTAAACATCTGCAAGAAAACAACCAAGCACAGAGAGCACCAAGGACCCCTCATTTCAACCCTGAGATACAAATATTCTCCTTTATTGTTGTTAATCTCCCTGGGCTTTCAGGCCCATAAACCATGCATCCTTCTGGGCTATCTGTTGGAGTTGGGTTTTGTAGGATGGTTCCATTTTTTTCCCCTTTCAGGATACAGATACACCCAGATTTTAGCACTGTGGGAACAAGGCTTGACTCCTAGATCATTGATTCTTAGCATTCCCCCATGCTCTTATCTTGCGCTCTCTGTTTTTAAACATCGCCATGCAGCTGCTGCTGAAGCTTTGAAGTGGAACGCCACCTAATATCATGGAAGTAAATAGCACCCTTGAACAATGCACACACTTGATAATAGGAGAGCAAACGGAAATTATATCTAAACAATATAAAACTGATATAGATAAAAGGAATGTTGGGATTTAAGGAATGGACTCTGAAAGAGGAAGTGTTCCTTGAGCCCACAGCCTGTCTTTCAATAGACTTTCAATAGACTTTCAAATGATGACTGTGGCAAAGAGCTTGTTTGAACAAGTACAGCTTAGGAGGAAACTGTGAGCCTTTCTAGTTGGACTTTGTGATGGTTATTCATACCTTCATACCTAATATTGCCCTTTTATTGAGTACTTGAGAATTACAGAATATAGAATAACAGAGCTGGAAGGGACCTTGGAGGTATTCTAGTCCAACCATCATCTGGTCTATTCCACATTTTTCAATCTTATCAAGAAGTGAGTTGTGGTCTACACTATATCATAGCATCTCGTTGATTCACTAATTTAGTCGCTTTATCAAAGAATGCCACAAGGTTTGTTTGGCATGATCTGTTTAACAAAACCATGTTGGCTTCCAGTAATAGCTTTGCTCTTTTCTAGGTGTTCGCAGATCCGTTGCTTTATTTTTTCCAGGATCTTTGCAGGCATTCATGTCATGCTGATTGGTCTGTAGTTTCCTGGATCCCTTTTCCCCCCTTTGTTGAAGATGGGAACCACATCAGCTCTTTTCCAGTCCTCTGGTAGTTCTCTGGTGTTCTAGATTTTTAAAAGACGTGGTACAGTGGTTCTGAGATGACATCTGCGAGCTCCTTTAGAACTCTAGGATGTAATCCATTTGGTCCTTGTGGTTTGAACTTATCTAGAGTGGACAGGGCCAATTTGCAAAACTTTGGTTCCTCTTGGACATTTTGGTTGTCCTGGGAAGTACTTGCCATGGTTGATGGGATTAATCCACATTTTTGGAATCAACACCCATCCATTTGTTTACCTCCATCTGCCCACAATTCCCTATTTGAAATTGGACCATGCAAGTGGCTGACCAGAGCCCTTGTGTGCGCATAGCTCAACTTGCATGAGCAGCAGGCCTTCTTCCACCTCCCCCACCCCCCCGCAGCCAGGCCACCAAACTGCAAAGGTTGGAGACTACTGTGAGAAAAGTCTTCAATAAATGGTAGGTGAGCCATTTCAATGTTATGGCAGGATGAGAAAAAATTGGGGGTCACTAGAGTCCTTAGGAAATCACAGTGGAGCCAAAACATGCATGCAAGAAGAATCATTCAAATATTGTCATTACATACTTGTTTGACACAAGGACATAAATCTCTTTGTCTGCCTGTCTACCTATCTTATCTATCTATCCAGTGGTGGGATTCAAGTAATTTAACAACCAGTTCTCTGCTAATGATTTCTTCCAACAACCAGTTCACCAAACTGTTCAGAAGGTTAACAATCGGTTCTCCTGAAGTGATGCAAACTGGCTAAATCCTACCTACCTACCTACCTATTATCTATCTATCTAATATAGCCATCCATCTCCCTCAAAAGTGACTGTGGATGACATACAACAAAGCTAAAACTGTGAATAAATATGAAAAATGGATATCACTATTAATTATGACAAAAATATTAAAAACAAAAAATTAAAGCAAACAAGGAAATAATATATATTATAGATAATAATAATGTAGCCACTCAACAGGGAGATGACTAGTTGCATGAGTGACTATGAATAGGAATTCCTATTAATCTAGGAATGGACACAGTTGATGCACAATGAAAAGTTGTGCAAAAGTCCTTTGAGCAGAAGTTATGAATCCAGCAGGACCTCCAGATTGTGCATTAGGTCTATTTATAGCATTTATATGAGGATATTACTCATGGGGTTTTTTTAGATTTTCCTTTACCCTTTTCAAACCTGGATGCTGTTCACAGGAAGTAATTTTTAATTTTTATTGCTTTCAAAATAAAGCAGAAAAAGAAAACAGAAGAACAAATATAGAAATGCATATATGATTAAGTCCTTAAAAATTACAAATCTAATGTTGTTGTTGTTAGTTGCAAAATCATGTCCAACCCATCGCAACCTCATGAACAAAGTTCCTCCAGGCCTTTTTATCTTCTACCATCCTCTGGACTCCATTTAAGCTCATGCCTACTGCTTCGGTGACTCCATCCAGCCACCTCATTCTCTGTCGTCCCATCCTTGTTTTGCCCTCAATCTTTCCCAGTATTGTGCTCTTTTCCAGTGAGTTCTTTCTTCTCCTTAGGTTGCCAAAGTATTTGAGTTTCATCTTCAGGATCTGGCCTTCTAAAGAGCAGTCAGGGCTGATCTCCTTAGAACTGACTGGTTTGATTGCCTTGCAGTCCAAGGGACTTGCAGGATTCTTCTCCAGCACCATAGTTGTTCCCAGGGATGTTTCAGGGCTAACCAGGTCTTCTGCTCCCCCCTCCGCCTGCTCGGCTAATTCACTCTCCCTTTCAGTGAGACTTACACGGACGCGCCGTCGTTCCCAAGCCTCCTGAAGAAGGTGTAAAGCATGGGTCATCATGAGATCCTCTCTTTCAGCTGCCTGCCAGTCATCCTCTGGTTTTCAGCTGGTTGTGACCTTTGCCATCGTCTTCTCCTGCTGGTTGCAGGGGTTTGACATTTGGGTGCTCCGCGCATGGAAACTTTTAATTCTGGGATGGGTACAAACTCCAGGATGGGACATTGCTTAATGTCANTGGAAGGCTGAGTCAACCCTGAGCCGGTGAGATTTGAACCGCTGAACTGCTGATCTAGCAGTAGCCTGCAGTGCTGCATTTAACCACTGCGCCACCTATAATTATATTTGAGTGTGTATTCTTATTTTATAACTTTGACTGATTTTCATCTATCCATAAAAAATCATCCACTGAAAACTTGAGTTTCAAGGACAACATAGAAATAAAAACAATTAAAATGTCTAACTTCTTACATTAGGGTCATTAGACTTTTGTGAGTTTGCTATTGAAGGAAAAAGAAAGTGTAACAAAACAGCAAGACCTGATTGATTGATTGATTGATTGATTGATTGATTGAATGAATGATGTAAGAATCAGAGTGTAATATATTTATCCCATTTAAGCACTTATCATTGCCCCCAAATTGGTGTAAATGCAGCAGAGCCAGTTTAGGTTAATTTAGTGATTAAGATTAGATTAGAAACAAGGAGACTATGAGTTCTAGGCTTACCTTAACCATGAAAGCCAACAGTGGATCTTTGGGCCAGTCTCTCTTACTCAGCTCAGGTCACCTCTTAGGGTTGTTATTGTTATGGGGAAAATAGGAGGAGGAAATGTGTGTTGAATATGTTTTCCACCTTGAGTTATTTGTAAAAATAATAAAGGTTATAAATAAATAAATAGACCTCCCACTATTATTAGGTTTTTCTTTTTAATTTCTCACCCGGATGTTGCTATGTAGGGAATAATATTCTCTCCATGCAAAACATTAAAAGTTTCTTTAAAGCATGTTTTTCCAATGTCCTAAATTTATTATCCTTCTTAGGGAAAGTCGTTACATATTAATATGAGTTTGGGACAAGGTGTAATATTTTCTGACATCTATATTCTTTTGAACTATTTCTATTACATGGAAATTGACTGAATCACCCCAAAATGGATTCTTTGTGATATTCATATTAAGAGATAAGTCATTCAACACTACAAATATAAATGTATGGTCTCAAGTATGCAATGGACTGAAAGCCTGATATTATTTATAACTCACAGATAAGTAGGGTATAAGATGTAGATTATGTATGGTACCATGTACTAAGTACTATGAAATATGGTTAACTTTTATTGAAAATGTGTAAAATTTCATATAGACATGATATACTGCTTGTTTTTTCTGTGTTCCATTAACTATTATATATAGATGTGGGGCGATGAGATTTAGGGTGGAGTAACTATTCTTAAAAGCCGCCATT